CACTTATCCAAAGAAAAATGGAAAACAATTGTCACAATAGATGAAGCGTGGGTGTATTTAAATGATTGTAACAAAAAAAGAGCCATTTATTATCATAAAAGTAGAGAAAAAATTTAAGTACATGGTTCAAAGAATCGAAAGAAAGTTTTTCTAAGGGATTCATGATTGTTGCTGGTTTTTCTTATAATGGCATGTTAAAAATAAAGAGAATGAAAAAAAAAAAAAAAGTCATGACTGACTCCAAATACTATCAGGAACATATTTTATCACCAATTTTTCTGAATGAAATACCATCGCTTTACCCACAGTGCCATCAATCTGTGAGACTCCATCAGGACAAAGCTAGCAGTCACACATCAAAATCCACTGTAAATTTCCTAAAAGAAATGGAACAAAAAACTGGTATCAAGGCACCCTTCAATGACAACATCCCTACTAAATCTCCCGATGTGTCACCTATGGATTTTTATGCTTTCGGACTTTTAAAAACTGCGTTATCCAAACGTTGTCCCCAAACCCTAACAAGACTCTGGAAAGCTGTTCGGGAGGAATGGGATAGAATACTTCTTCTGTCACTTCAAAAGGCATTATACCGGAAATAGCGGTGTCGAAAAGATAGTTCAGAATAAGGGATGTCAAATAGAACATTTAAAACACAAGAATTTTATGTAATTTAGTTTTGTGAATACAATATACATCGTCTAAAAATGTGTGAACAGCCTCTGTATCATAAAGTGAAGCTTAGCTCTCTTTCCCGAGTTAAAATATCATTCAGCTGATCACACAGATCACGGTGCGAATATATATTGTTGCAACTTGGTTAATTCCTTCAGATAAGCATGAAGAAATTGGCAATTTATTACAAACAATAATGAAATACAGCAAAATAAAAAACGATAAACAACTGAAGGTAATTTAGCACAAGAGAAATATCGTCAATTCCTTAAACGGAGTAAACCCTAAAGCACAATTCAGTTAACTCTCTTTGAATACCGAATACCCATAGCTGAATAATAAAAAATTCGTTCTAATTTTCAGAACCATTTTTATATTGCGTTCCATGAACTTCTAGAATCTTCGAGAAAAAAATCGGTCCTAGGACTTCAAATGTTTTTTTCTCTGAATCTTCCAAGAAAACACAAAATCGAGAAATCCCGATATGTCTTCAACTTCAGGATAAAAATGTTTGCCAAAGGCCGTCAGGAGCGTTTTTGCCTATATCTTGTGTTCGATCTTCCTTTACAATTTAATTGATGATGGATTCAGAATTTAGAGATGTACAATTTTATACGCAAAATAAAACTTTATATATGAAACATCTGGTCGCATATTCAATTACACATTAAATGAACTCTGAAACTAATCTTACATGCAAAGAATTAAACAAATAAATAAGTAAAAAAAAAAATCTGAAAGGTTTCAGATTTTAAATTACGTCCAAAGGGGCGTTTTTTTAACGTTTTGTGTGTTATCTTTATTTATTAAATATTATGTTCTTTGCACTTAAACCATAAAATTCAGTTCAGTAGCAATGTCGCAAAATAATTTTAAAATGAGCGTATCTTTAGAATTTCCGATACACAGTTCCACGCCCGGTGGAGATTTGTAGCAACTGTATTGTAGCAATCTTGCTTTTAAGAAGAAAGGTGGTGTGGTGTGGTGTATTTAATTACGGCAAAGCACACTAGGGCTATCTGCCTAAGGGGAGAAGTGCCTTCGTGGAGGACTTTCTAAGGGAAACTGGCTCGTATACACGTTACACACGGGGAAAACCACGAAAACACCCATGCAGCCAGCCCGTTCGCGGGATTCGAACCTCGGACCGAACTACCAGTGTGCAGCGACTTTACCGCTCGGCCGCTGGTGGGCCAAGAAGAAAGGAGATGAGGACTTTGGCGAACGCCGTTTTCTCCAGTCCGTGGGGCTTGGTAAGTTCAATTCGTTCTTTAAAAGAGAGCACAATAAGACGCCTTTGTCCGCTGGAGATAAAAAAAGGTTCCCCTGCTGTAGACTGTTGCCATTGCTCGCTTTTAAATCGTTGAGTTTGTTAGTCAAAAATTCATGTTAAAGTTTTAAAAAATATGAAATCGATCATAAAACAAATTCCAAATTTCAAATTTGGTATTCCACATGCCCATATTCGTAGGAGGATTACATCATTCAAAATTCGATGGCTCTATGTACCGTTGTTTTATAACAATGCGAGAAATAGACATACATTTATGCAGATTTTCATTATTTAATTTCTTCAAATATAATGCAGGACTCTAACATTGGGTGGCAACAGTTTGAAAAGTGAAACGGACATTTATAATGATTCAACTCAAAATCGCAAAACGAAAACAATAGTCCTTCAGGGACAAAGCCCCTTTGGACTAATAACACATTATATTACAGAAGTACGCAACAACAACTGTTGAATAAATGAACTTAAAGCACCACCAGTGGCCAAGTGGTTAAGAGCCGCTGAATATTTGTCCTCCGAACTGGTTTGTGTTCGATCCCAAGCGGAAAGGCTGCCTGCATGGTGCGTTTTTGTGTTTTTTGCCATGTTTAACGTGAAAACCAGCCAGTTTCTCTCAGAATGTTCTCCACGGAGACGACCTTTTCTCAGACAGATCTCTCGTGGATTTACTGTATTCAAATAACTTAACCTCCTAATGAAATGAACTTAAATATTTACATATGTATATATATATATATGTCTGTGAGGGTGTGTGTGCATGAGAGAGTGAGTATTCTCGCCCCTCTCCCCGCTCCTCCAGAAGTATCATGGAGGTAGGAAAGGGAGGAGGGGCCATTCCGCGCTAGAAGTGAAGCACTGCTTTGAAGCTAGGGTCACCAGACGGGGTGTTATTTGTTTACATTCAGAAGCTCGCTTGACAAGATTCTGATAGTATTTCGACACACGACAGTTCCATAGAAATCGAAAAAGGGACACTCTCGCATGAAAGAAACATTCATGGTGTGATCGATAATAGCAATTTGTATAGTTTAGTGACATTTACGCAAAAATCACATCTTGGTTATTTTTCGATAACTAACAACAGCGATTTTGATTATGAATTTGTTTTATAAAATTCTAAGCTGTTGCACTACAAAAATATAGATTTTAAGAAAATTGCTAAAAGAGATCTGCCAAAATTTATTTTCTAGAAGATTTGAAAAGTTTGAAACATTGATGGCTAAATTTAAATATAAAATTATGTATGTTAAAATATTTGTAATTAGGCACATAGGTCAGATTAAGTTTTTATTAAATAGAGTAACGCATGCAAGGGCTATCTGCCTAAAGAGAGAGAGATGCCATCGTGGAGGAATTTTGAGAGAAAAACTGACCTTTGAGTGGGTATTAAAAATAATACTTATAATTTTCATTCAAATTATATTCATATATATTTTTTATGTAAAACTTTCGGGTGTATGCTAAATTAGTGTAAATTACTGTATGTATCTGCCTTTGGCAAAATACTTAAATATTCATTAAATTATTTATAAATGTATTTGAAATGAAGAATTTATTCACTTATAAAAAACTGTGAAAGTACTGTGAAGAAATCTAATGATTAAATGTATCTAATTTATAATGATTATAAATGTTATCTAAATATATAATAACCTTAATATTGAATTGTAAACATAAATTGAAATCCTGTTGACAAATACGTTATAAAACTATTTAAGCAAGAAGTGTTCGTATTGGAAAGCAATCACTTAAAAGGTATTGTAAAGCAAATGCTATGAGATGCGCACTTAAGAACGTAATAAAGAGTTTTGGAATATGTATTGTTGAAATGAAGGGTAAAAAAAAAAAACCTGATAAGTATAATTAAAAGAATTATTCCCTTTACATTTTATAATAACTCAGTTACAAGTTTTAAATAATACTTAAAAAAAAAACTTATTTTATTCCCTTTCAGAAATGTTCAGAGAAAGTCAAATACTATTTAATACCTATTTAATTATTAGGAATTAGCGAAATACGTATTTAAAGTATTTCGCTAATTCCTAATAATTCTCTAATTTAAAATGAACCGAATAGAGCATTAATTACAAATTGACTTACATTTTTCGATTTAAAAGAAGCCAAAAAATCATGTCATATTTAAGAAAGTATTTTAGGAAGAAGCTCTATAAATAGAAAAGAAATAATGCATAATTTTAATATTAATAATACAATAAACTTTGATCTTAATTTTTGTACCTTAACCGAATAAAATCGAATCACCTTAATTTTTTTTCCTAATGTAATTGAGAAAACTTGTGAAAATATTTCATTCAAATTAAACCATTCTGAGAAAACTGTCCTGTGAAAAGTATAGCATTTAATTCCGTTCAGAATGAAATGTTGTTTAAAAATATGTTGTTTTCACATACTTAGGACTCTGAAGTGTTGTAGAAAAAGAAAATATATACATTTATATGTATATTTGCGACGTAATTACAAATATTTACACCCGAACGCGTCAAATCCCATAGAACTCAATGGTAAATGACCCAATGTTTTGGTCACCACGTAGGGATCGTCGGTGCTTCAGAGCAGGGTACGGAGAAACTTGTTTAGGGCGACTCCTTCTTACTTCCTACTTCCATGAGAAGTATTAAGATCAGGTTTTGTAGATACGTCGTAAGGTCTTGGTTTGGCTTATTTCATCATGCCAAAGCGCTCAACGGCTATCTGCCTAAAGGGAGGGATGCCTTCGTGGAAAACCTTTCAAGGGAAACTGTCTAGTATACACGTTATACGCGGGAAAAACCACGAAAACGGCCTGCAGCCTGTCCATTCGTGGGATTCAAACCTCGGACCGAACTACCAGTGTTCAGCGAAAATTTTGCCTCGGCCGCTGGTGGACGCTTATTCCTTGTAAAGAAAAATAGCGTTAGAGTTTGCTTTGTGCTTTCTAATTTTTTAAATTCAGTTGAAATATGCGAAAGACTTTCAATTTACTATTGGGTCTAAAATCAAATTGTCAGCTTAATTTGTTTTGAAATATACTTACCAAAACTTCAATAGCAAAGTAGATTCGGCGGGGATTCGCTAGCACTTTAAATGTCTCGTATGATAGATCCTTCCAGTCGCTTATCAAAACGGCACCACAAATTTGGAAAGCTTCCATCTCACTTGTAGCTAGCCACATACACATAATTGTAGCATATAGCTCCTCAGGTGTTGCAACTTTGAGATCGTGGTAGCCTAGAAATAATAAAATGTATTTAGTAGCAAATAATTGAATAATTATCATTAAGAAATAGAAAATTTCATTACCTTTCAAAAAGTTAAAACTATTACGGTGAAACATCTGTTCACGAATTTAATTATCCCCCCCCCGGAATTAACGTAAAATGGAGAAATTCGTTCCAGAACAACATACTACTGATTATTTAATCTCTACAGCGGTGCTTTGTGCACAAAAATATAAAAAATTACTTAAAATTATCAAAATTTAAGCAAGTTCCATAAATACAAAACAAAAAAGATAAACAGAGTATTAAATAGATAAAATACTATATTTATTAAACAGATAAAATAGACGAAAATTTAATGTAGTTTTACTATGCCATGTACGAAGGAGACTGAATGATAAATGAGACTGGAAGTGAAAAATTATTAAAAATTGTCTTACTGTTTGGATGAGAAATTAGCTTTCACCACATCTCAAGTAGATATCTTTAGGAGACATCTTTTATCTTTCATCTTTTTATCTTTTATCTTTCATTATTCTTTTCATCCCTAAGTATCAGTTAACTTTACATGAAACTCAATGGACTTTGGTTTCACTCGAAATCATAGCTGATTAAAAAGCTCAAAGTCTCAAAATGCTTAGTCTTTGTCTGAAGCCAGGTCTGGCCAAAATTTCCTCCAGATTGAATTTATGAACCTGTTAAGTCACTTACTGGAGCACTTTGCTAATGAGTAGTAAGTAATGGAACGTTTTAAAATAATATTTCCAAAGGTCCGTAAGTTTTAATTATGTGACGTAAGTTACCTCAAATTATGTCTGAATACCACACGTCTTCGACATGAGTTTTCGTAAATTGAGACATCGTTCATCAAACGAGGTATCCATTGTTCACACAGTTTGTCTACTGATGTTTCATTTATATTCTGAAAGATACAGGTAACAATCAAACTATTGTAAAGAGTTGGTCGACACAGTGTTTGTATATTATTATTTCTTCACTGCATTATATTCCAGGATTCATCCTTACTTCGACATAAAACATCTATGTATATGCGTGTCAAAATAAGCTGGCAGGGTGTTGCTAACAGTGATAAACGAGTTTTAAGAGGATAGCAAGTATGCTAACTTTGAACTCTTTGTTAAATTTCTTAATTTGCAAGTCCTTTATTTATTTATTTATTTTGCTTGCTTGTTTATTTAATATTTTTACTTGTAATAGTGTTTCTCTTCCTGAAATGTAGGGTTTCGTCTAGTTTGGATTAAATTTGGTTTAGTGCATTGTAGGTAACTTAAAATTTAAGCAGATGCTAGAAAGCACCATCACTTGGCAATACATTTCTCATTAGGTATCAAATTGTTAAACAAGCTGATGTGACTAAATGTCATTGTATAATTTCCCAATTAAAGAACAAATACAAATATATGCAATGGGATACAGAACTATATGTATATATTTATAATCAAATCAATAATATATATATAACCAGTTATGATTCGCAACCGTCAAATGATATGTATATACTATATTGGGTCATATAAAAAGTCTCCGCGGTTTTTTGCCACTAGATGGTGTTGATGCCTATATATCTGGCACTGACCCCATTGTCTAAAACGAACATATGATTAAAAGGTGACATCCAGCTTCCATTGTTTGTGTAGATAGTTTTCTAATTCCTTGCTCGTGTAAAAAGTTATATTAATTTGAAAATGAGTGAAATATCTGAAGAAATACGCTATGTGATGCTTTTTTTTTTACTATAAAAAAAGTTAAACGCTGCAAAAAGCATGCAGAAAAATTTGTGATGTGTCTGGTGAGAATGCTGTGGGTGAATGAAAGACCCAGGTGTGGTTTGCTCGATTCCATTCGGGAAATTTCGATGTAAAAAGTGCACCTCGCTCTAGTCGGCCAGTCACTGAAAAAGACGATGAAATTTTGCAACGGGTGGGGCAAGACCAGCACGCAAGCTCTCAGGAAATAGCGGAGATATTGAATATCAACCACATGACATTTTGGAATCACTTGAAAAGAGCAGGCCACAAAAGAAGCTCGCTGTTTGGGTGCCACATGAGGAACTGTCCATTATGAGCTGATGCAACGTCGCAAAACCATCAACTTGGCCCTCTACTGTGCACAACTCGACCTTTTGAATGAAGCAATCCAGAAAGAGCAACCTGAATTGGCCAACAGACAGGGAATTGTATTCCATCATGACAATGCGCGGGCACACACATTTTTGATGACTCGGAACAAATTGACGGAACTTGGTTGGAAAGTTTTGATGCATCCATCGTATACCCTGGACCTTGCACCGTCTGACTACCATTTGTCTTTGAAACCTCTCGTTAAGGTAAAACATTGGCCGACCAAAGGCGCCTCTGAAAATCACTTGTCCAAGTTTTTCCACGATAAACTACACAAGATCTACACCGATGGAATTATAAAGCTTCTCGAAAATGGCGAAAAGTCATAGATAATAATGGCCAAGATGTATTTGATTAAAATTTATTTTCAATAAAGAATTTTTTTTTTTCAAAAATGTGCCAAAAAACCGCGGAGACTTTTTATATGGCCTAATATATATAATTAAAGTCATGATTCGCAACCTCTGATATGTATATGTATTATATATATATCGTTTCATAAGAATAAAATAAATTGAATTTAATTAAAAAAATTAAATTTAAATACATATTTAATTAAATATTCAAATTTAAATTTAAACAAATTTAAATTCTTAACAATATACGTATAAAAGTAAAAAAGCAAATTTAAATTCTAAAAAAAAGGAAAAAAAAGCCAAAATTTAAAATAATTAAAAAAATATGTGCAAACATGTAAAAGATTTAATTCTCGAACTAATCTACAATATCATTTAAATTCAGAAGCATAAGCAAATCAAGTGCAAAATCTATCCATGAAAATAAATCTACTAATTTAATAAATTAAAATTAAATTAAACAATTTTTTTAAAAAATGCATATGTGAATGACCCTAGAGTAGGCAGGAGACAGACTTATCAAGGGGAAGTTGCCTCCAAACCTAACTCTCCAATCATTCAATTTGTGTTTCGTCATTCATGCAGGCAAGGGTAAAAGTCAAAATAGAGTCTGTAGTCGAATGCAAGCGGTTGAATCTGTAATGAACAGAAAGAATTTTGATGGCTTAGAGATATTGAAACTCCAATCCACAATGAATAAGAGATTTGGCAGTCGAGGAGATTTAATTCAACTTTTATTTCAGCAAACATGTTGCAGCCACAAACAAGTTGACACATTATTTATGCCTATTCCAAAAGTTTTTTGATAAATTTGTAGTAAAAAAGAAGGAGCAGACAGATTCCAGTCCAGCTAGGCCAAAGCGTAGAAAGCAAGTGCGTTATGATGAGGGTGAAATCTTAATTCAGACTGAGTTAGTTTTGGTTCTCAATGCATTTTGATTTGATATTTAGTACTGCTGTAAAATTACTATTGGATGTTTGAGTTTTGGTTCCATTTACATCATCAGGATTATGTAAGAGTCATATGACATGGATTAATCTCGAAATGATGCAGTGCAGAGAAATTACTGTTTAGACTAGAGATGGAAAATTAATTTCATGCTGCTAATTTAATTTTTACATATTCTTTATTTATCTTACACACACACACATATATATATACATATATCATTTGATGTTTGTGAATCATGACTTTGATTATTATCTTTCTATTAATTTTATTTTCAAAATTATATAAAGGGAGTTAAAAATTTGTAAAGAGAATTTATACAGTCAAAAGTCTTTAATCCGGACTCGTCGGGACTTCGGCGATTCCGGATTATCGAATTTTCCGGATTATAGATCATCAGTTTAAATCTGGTAAGATGGCATGCAGAAATTATAAAATTAAAAATATGAAACCGTAATTTATAAAATAATGAGCAATTATGATCTAAAGAGTATCCAAATTTACCAAAATAGAAGCCTAATATTTATTTGTTTACTTTATTAAACATTTCTTTTAACGCGCGGATGCGTAAAGCATACCTTACTCATAGCCGAAATTAGAAAATTGCAACCAGAAAACTATGTGATTTGTATTCGTGATATTTATAATGACGAGGAATTTGATTTAAATCATATCAAAGACGGAGTACATCGAAATTAAATACTACATTTAGTAAGGAATTAAAAGCCGACTAAAATAAAAACATCTGCCCTGAAGATAACGATAGTGTTGACAGATCAACTTTCAGTTCATTGCGCGCCGCGAAGTGCCCCCCCCCGCGCAGAGCAGCGTGAAATTGATAAACAGATTTCGGAACGGTTAGATAAACAAAGGATATGCTTTTATCCATTTTTTGTAGCAATTCGTTTTTTGTTTGATGGACATCGAAACATACTTTCGTTTTCTAGATCCTTTGGGAGCTCCAGCATCGGAAATTCTATTTGACATAATCGAAAGTTCAAGCTTACTTTTAGAAAGGTGCTCTTACAGTCTGCAAAAAATAATAAGCCGAATCCAATTTGAAGATTAAGGAACAACGCAATTATCAACATTAACTGAAATAGATAATTTTACCTTTTACCGTCCGTTACACATTAAACGCGCACGCGAAAACGTATTCTGCACTTGCGCAGATGCATATGCGCAGTGGTAAATGTCTTGCGCGCACGAATAAAACGCCTATGCGCATGCGTCAATGCGGCGCATGCGCAGAAAGATTTTAGCTTTGAGGTCCGGATTATAGATCATTCCGGATTACGGGTGTCCGAATTAACGACTTTTGACTGTACAAATATTTTGTAATATGTTTATAGATGCATTGAGAAGGTCAGGGGCTTGTAGGCTTCTAGATATTTTAAACATTTTATTAAGTTTATTCACATTGAATTTTATTTAAAACTACATGCTTTCTCCACCATTTAGTTCCGTACATTTCATCAGTGCTAATTATATAGTTCTGTTGGTTTATGTTTTTAATCACTAGTTTTTATGGAAATTTGATCTACAGTTATATTTTTGTGATTCT